TTATACAAATAGAAACACGCAATTCTAAAAATAGAAACACGCAATTCTATAAATAGAAACACGCAATTCTATAAATAGTAACACGCAATTCTATAAATAGTAACACACAATTCTAAAAATAGAAACGCAATTCTAAAAATAGAAACTCCCAATTTCTATAAATAGTAACACGCAATTTCTAAAAATATAAACACGCAATTCTAAAAATAGAAACACGCAATTCTAAAAATAGTAACACGCAATTATACAAATAGAAACACGCAATTCTACAAATAGAAACACGCAATTCTAAAAATAGAAACACACAATATACGTTGTTTGTTGTTGTTGTTGTTGATGATGATGATGATGATGATATATATATATATATATATATATATATATATATATATATATATATATATATATATATATATATATATATATATATATATATATATATATATACACACCAATAAATATATAATTATGGTCATTTAATGCACAAATCTGAGAAAATTCAGTAATTTAACCTTCAAGGTCAAGGTCATTAAAGAGCCCAAGCAAATTTGGGTTTGATAAACACTTAAGAATGTTCTGTTATAATATGAAGTTGATCCCTTCAATAATAGCAAAGTTATAGTCAGTTACAGCCAAAACAATGAAAATTTCAATAATTGACCTTCAAAGACAATGTCATTAATGAGTGAAGGTCAAGGTCTGTCGGGTTATTTTTAAGACTTATCCTTGAAGATCATTATGTTTCAAGTTTCAAGACAATCCATTCAAAAAAATAACAAAGTTACAGCCAATAATAGCCCAAAAAAATGAATATTTCAATAATTTGACATTCAAAGTCAAGGTCATTTATGAGTGAAGGTCAAGGTCTGTCTGGTTATTTTTAAGTGATATCCCTGAAGATTATTATGTTCAAGTTTGAAGGCAATCCATTCATAAATAACAAAGTTACAGCCAATAATAGCAAAAAAAATGAAAATTTCAATAATTTGACCTTCAAAGTCAAGGTCATTTATGAGTGAAGGTCAAGGTCTGTCTGGTTATTTTTAAGAGATATCCTTTGAAAATTATTATGTTCAAGTTTGAAGACAATCCATTCAAAAATAACAAAGTTACAGCCAATAACAGCATGAACAAGCAAAATTTGGACTTTTAACCTTGAAGGTCAAGGTCATTTATGGATGAAGGTCAAGGTTAGTGTGGTCTACTGAAAGGTCTTGTCCCAAGGGTTGTTGTGGCCAAGTATGAAGACAATACACCAAGAAATAAAAAAGTTATGATCCAGGTACAAGTTTGCGGACGGCAACGGCAATGGCAACGGCAACGCCGCCGCGACTATAACAATACCTCTACTTTTTTTTTCAAAAAAAAAAGCCGAGCTAAAAATTATTAAAGGGCCATAACTCTTACAAAAATCATTGAACCGGAAAATGCTGACAATATGCACAACTAGACTTGGTACTGATCATTCCTGTAAAGTTTGGATGAAAATTGCACCAGTAGTTTATGAGGAGTAGTCCGGACAAGTTTTTGTGACGGACGGACGGACTGACAGACAGACGGACAGACAGACAACGGAGAAGTGATCCCTATATGTGGCCACTACTCCGTAGAGGCGACACAAAAAACATTTGAAACCAAAGTTGTATGTTTTACGCAATTTTAAACCATTTTATTTGTAGAAAAGTTATATTTATCAAATGTGCTTTATGCAAAAACTGTTCTAAATCCTATGGAGTTAGGACCTTTGAAAACTTTTAAAAACAATTGCATAAAGTATTTGAGCTTAAAATTTTACATATCTTTCAACTTTTCAATCAACTAAAAGGTTATCATATAACCCCTAATGTATATGTATTCGTATTCGTATATGCAGATTAATATTAAGCTTAAAAAAACTTGTATCAAACAAATCATCAATTGTATATTTTGTATTTGTTACACATTCTTTAGTTGATAAATTGCATGAATATTATTTGATTGATTAATTAATCGATTAATTTGACTGACTACAGGAAACGAAAACAGTAGAGTTTTAAACATAAATCGATTACAAAATATAGACAATTGTTAACACCTGTAGAGTTTCAAACATGCAAAGTCATCACCAAGAGGATCGCATCCATCCAAACGCACACGAATCTACATATACTCGGTTCCAAAAAGAAAGTGTGCACTTTTTTAATGTTGAATATTTAGAAAATTAGCAGACGTTTCTTTTTCAAATTTGGCATAGTTAGTCCTAAGTACACAATACATCGATCCAATATAAAAACCATCCCGTGCTGGCACGGAATTTTTTCGCTTTATATGGCAATACATAATACAGCATGATTTGCACGTGCTGTCCGAGGCGAAGGTACATGTCACAGGAAATAAATGTGTATAGACATAATCCTTATACCCGCTACATAGGGAAAAACACATTTAATTTCACAGCGCTTGTCACTTAACATGCCCAGACTGAACCAAAATCAGCGAATTCAAGCATTAACGATGCTTGCTCGTGGCGACAAACGGCTCCAACGTCAGTAGAGCATTCGGTTGTCACAGAAACACAATATTTCGGTTGCGCCAGCGTTTCCAGCAAACAGGTGGGTAGCAGATCGTCGTAATCCCGGTAGACCGAGGGTTACAAACCCTCGAACGGTTCATTACGTTGACGCACCTTCGACATCGTTTTCAAACGGCGACAAGTTCTGCAAGGCAGTATGGTATCAGCAAACAGACAGTGTTGCGCCGCCTCAGGCAAGCCCGGCAACCCATTCGGCCAAGGAGGCCCTATGTGGGACAAGTGCTTACAGCACGTCATCGGGCTGCCCGTTTGCAGTGGGCACAACGGCATTTTCGTTGGGGGCGACAGCAGTGGGCTCGGGTTCTATTCTCAGATGAGTCTAGGTTTAACCTTAGTCATCATGACGGTCGAATTCGAGTTTTTAGAAGAAGAGGGGAACGTTTTGCTGATAATTGTCTCGTTGAGAGGGACAGATTTGGAGGTGGGAGTGTTATGGTATGGGGTGGCATTATGGGCAGAAGGAAAACAAATCTCATTGTTGTGCAAGGTAATCTCAATGCTCAATTCTGCAGCCGGAAACTGTTCCTTTCCTTCAAAGGCCTGCAATATTGATGCATGATAATGCAAGGCCTCATGTTGCAAGGATATGTCGGCAGTTTCTAAACAGAAATAACGTTAACGTACCACCCTGGCCTGCCGTGTCACCGGATATGCATCCGATTGAACACATCTGAGACTATCTGGGTAGAAAGGTTCGAGCTAGAGGGAACGTACACAACCTTAGGGATCTGGAAAACGCCTTAATTCAAGAATGGAATAACATTTCCAACGACGTTATCAGACGTTACGTAAGGTCAATGCGAGGTCGCCTTGCTGCTTGCATCAATAGTCGAGGTGGCCACACTCGATACTGACTATACAGTTAACGTCGAATTTCCAATTTCAGCAGAATGAAATGATGAATTGTGGAAATTGCTAATTTCAGAGTAATCTTGCAACTTTCATTTTCGGACCTAGTCTATTCTCGAGACAAAATCATATCCTAATGACACCGGTATTTAAAGATTTAAGTCACGATTATAATGTACATGTTTTGATCTTGATTTTGGTACCAAAAACGTAGACATTAAGTATAATGGGCAATGGAAAATCGCCGAAAACAAAGTGCACACTTTTTTTTTGGAACCTAGTATATAAATCATGGTCACGGAATCAGAATGTGCCTGATACATGTCAACAGAAACGAACTCAAACATTTTTACACCAGGATGATAATGATGAATGGCCCCCCTTAGTTTCCATACTCATATGGATACAGTATCACGTGATTCTAACCCTTCAATAAGGACAATAATACCAGACAATAACCAGTTTATTCATGGTGCTAACACAACGGCACAAAATAACCACCAACAAGACATACTGAGGTACAACACTCCTGACACAACTGATCAACATGTTTCCCAGAGTCAAAACACGCACTCTACAACAGATCATTTACGTGAAAGTAATATAGTGCAAAATTGCGAGAGTGGCGGATACCCGATTACAGAAGCAATAATGACAATTAATTTTCCAGACTGAAATATTGAAACAATGTCAAACACATCCGCAGTAAAAACCCTAGTCCAACTAATTAGACTTGTCAAAGAGACACCGAGATAATTTTGGACGGGCGCTGTCTTTTTCCAGTTTGACAGTAATAAAAAAAAGTCTGTAAAATGGGTCAAACCGTTCACGCCAAATTAATTAGGCTATAAAAACCCATAAGACAGAAAAAACTGTCATTACAAAGTTGCAGTATTTAACGACAGAATTATTGAACTCACAGACAGATGATAGAAGCACTTACAAACTTGCTTGCATGATTTCAGTCGGCCATTTTCCATAGCCATGTAAGATAACTCCCTGTTTCCCTGTCTAAAATTCCACCAAATTATTCCCCTTTCAAATGAACTCAAAGAAGGGACATTTTAAAAAGACTTTGTATTCAATTATTCGATTTTTTGTTCAGAAATGGACAATTTTTTCTTTACCTTTGTTTAATTTGCTTTCTATCTATATATGGTTCCTATGGTAAACATATGAGTTTTGATGGTAAACAAATGAATTTTCTGAACCGAAAGTAATCTAACACACAGCGTTGCTGTCATCACATGTAAACAATACATTAAATCGGTAAGAATATTGAGATATTTGTTTGACTATCAATTTCAAATGGAAAATATTAATATGGAAAACAGCTATGTGTAGTTTATGTGTATTGTTTTAATGTGTTTGTCTGATATTTTAGTTGTAAAAGCCATGTACACTTAGTGTCGCTTCATAGCAACCGAGTTTAAAACGGTCGCTTCATAGCAACCGAGTTTAAAACGTGAGCGGTAACTGTACGAGATATGGCAAAGCGCATGCTCGCGCACTGACTTCCGCTCTATCGAAATACTGCATATACGTATAGCGAAAGTTCGTAAGTGAGAAGTACACCTACCTTGCTTCATGATAACAGTAGTCCCAAAATCTTAAATCCATCAAGTACCTTAGAATATGACAGGTCAACAACACACTCAACACAAAATGAAAACACAGTACGAAAAGGTGTGTCACATGTTTCCCGGACACAAGTAATCGAAGTATGTCTAGAAATAGAAACGGGGGTTCACCTGCGTCTAAAAATAGATCAACAGGTAAATCCATCGCTGACCCACTTACACCGAAAGCGCATAAAGGCAATAACTAGGATATGTCGGGGAAGGTACAAATTCGTATTGCATTATTGAATATAAATGGTTTGGTAACAAATGAACTAATAAACTGGAATCTGAAGAGTTAAAATCAACTTTTGATAATAATGACATAATTTTATTAACTGAACCATGGACAAATGAGTTTTCGGAATTAAACGTGAAAGGTTTTGAATATTTTGTATTGAACAGAACTATGATTAAAAATCGTGTTAGCGTAATTCTGGAGATATAATTTTGTACATTAGAAATAAACTGTTCTCCCCAGATATGCCTGTGTATCAAAGTAAAGATGACATCTTATGGATCAAGATAAAGTCATGTACGTTGAATACCATTGAAGATCTCTACATTGGTTTATGTTATGTCATACCTAGTCCAACTAATTAGACATGTCAAAGAGACACCGAGATAATTTTGGACGGGCGCTGTCTTTTTTCAAAGTCCAACTTATGCACGGACGCTTCCCAATTAGAAGTTGTTGGGAGTGAAAACTAGAAAAGTTTAAAAGAAATGGCCTACTTTTCCTGAAAGAGAACCGTTTTTATGTAAGGTTCCAAATTATCATACTTCAAAGTCGAACAGAAGTCTAAATATTCCACTTTATTTTTTTAAATCGTTGAAAATTATTGAAAGCGGCCGTATTGGAAATATAGGAGGAATGACGCAAGCGGTGTCATGGTAAAATTGTAACATTTTCATGGTGTAACACAGGTATCGGTGGCAATCGATTGTATACGCAAGCCTTATAATACAATTTGTTCCTGCGGTCTCCATTCCCTGCGGTCTGGAGACCGCAGGGTATTGGTACGCGTTTAACTTTTGAGGCATGGAGGAGCACGTGACCTGTTTTCGGTACATGGAGGAGCATGTGATCTGTAAACCGTACATGATTGGTTAATTGACCTTTTCGAAAACCTAGCTAAATACCGTTTGCCGGTACGTTACGGATTTACCTGTAGGGAATTAGTCCGAATTACAGCTTATCAAGAACAAAAAACTATTACGTGATATTTCTAATTTTCTATAATTATTTTACCGTTTAAGGTGGACAATTTAAATAAAGGAGTGTTTGAAAATTATCAATATTTCTTTAATATGTATCTCAAATTTTACAAACAATGAATTGTTTATACTGAAAATTTACAGAATTAAAATATTCGTAGGGGCATCTGCCATAATAAATAGAGATATTTTCTGCGTAAACTTGTGTGTTTACTTTATTAAAATTTTGCTCGGAATTATTCATAAAATGGTAGGCCTATTTAATCATTTTCTTAAAAAGAAATAATTGTTTAATGTTCGACCTTCTCCGGTCTTCAACGGTCACCACTTTCCAAAGTCCTTCTTCTATATTCAATTGTCAACTATATTCTTGATACAAACGTTTATTTATCCCAAAAAAAAAAAAAAAAAAAAAAAAAAATTGTAAATAGTTAAATGTCATTAAAATGTTCACCGCAGGAAACCATTTTACTTGTTTATGTTATTGATGTGAATGATTGCAGGATAACTCTTATATTCACACACGAATATTTCAGCATTAAAAATAAAATGTATAAAGGAAATTCTGATAACCTTACTTAGAAATTAAATAGTTTATGATGTCCGACGTCAGATCATACTGCATTTAAGTCTGTTTAAATAAAATTGTCAAATTAGAAATTATAAAGTTGGATTTTTTAACATCTGTGATCATTAGGTGAAATTTCTGAACTGCCTTTGATTTCCCACATACGAAAATACAATGAAATTGTAGGTACATCTTAATGAATTACAATTATACTATACATGATGAAGCAAAGAAGAATTTCAATTTGTATTACACTCTATATCAATTTCTAGTGTATTATCTTAAAAACAAAATTGAGGACAGTTGTGTAGGGGAAGAAGTTCAAAACAAACAAAAATAACTTAATTCTGAAAAAAAACGCTTAAAATTTCACACTATAACATGGAATTTCAGACTGGCCTTTTCTCAAGTTAAGAAATTACAGCCCTCAGTAAAATGCAATTCTCGCACAGATATGACGAGGTTTATGATAAAAACGAAGCAAGTGGCAATTTAGTGACCGTAATTTAGACGTAGAATAACATAACAATGTAAGACAGATAGTCTGTTTAAAGACTGTCGCAAAATTCCATGTTATCTAGTTGAACGGCACCTCGAATGTATCACATTGAAAGTTCCATGATTTCCGCCGTATTTTGTACACATCTGTGGGTGTTGATTCAAAATTTCAACATTATTATGTTTAAGTGATGAATTCTGTTTAAACCGGCACAATGGAGCACTTGCACCTACCAGAGCCGTCTTTGGCACGCATGTGTATTTATGTTTTCGGTTTTGCACTTTTAGGCGTTTTTGGTGTGTTTTTTGGACGGGGGGGGGGGGGGGGGGTGGATAAGTTTTTTTCTTTACATTTCTTTGCTTGCTTGCCGAACCTTGTATTAATAATAAATCATTATCTGTTTGTTACGGTTCGGTATACATGTATAAAATATGTTAAACAAGATGAACAAGGAAAGGTGGCGTTCAATGAACGCAACCCCAACACGACCCAGGAACAAGAACCATTGGCAAGGAACCCAGGAGGATCCTAAACAAAAACAAGCTTTTCACTAAAATGATACATATGAAGAAATAATAGTAACTGACAAGGAAATCAAAATCAAAGAAAATAAATAAATGAATGATTAATAGGGCCACTAAGTTAACGAGCACAGGGGAAGGGGATAGGAAATTCGGGGAAGGGGGAGGGGGCGAAATAAAGAAATAAAACTAGGGGCAAAGGGAAGACACTTACGATAGACGAGAAAACAACAAGGGACACAACAGAAGTGTCACCAAAACAGTATGAAACAACAAGACATGTACAAGTCTCTTAATATGTTCATTTGAAAATTCTTATCTTCTCAGTGACCTTTTTTTAATATCCTCTATTTAAAATTTATTTCAATTAAAATATGTGACCCTTCCCTTATAGTTTCACAGCATATGGCTGGATCACAATAAAGTTCCTTTTTAGTAAATTAATTAGGTATGTCAAGAAGACATTAAACTTGATCAGTAGGTTTAATATGGTATTATATATCGGCAATCGGTGAAAAAGAACTCTTGAAATATTATTTGTACAAATACTGAATAATTTGAAGTGCATTCAAATATATAGTTCCCTTCAATATTTCTTTTACGTTCTTAATTGTCATATAAATATGCATGTATAATGAAGTCATTATTTTATTCGAGAGTGAAATTGGCAGTCATTAGCAGTAAACAAGAAGGCAAACCACCTATTGATAAATGTTGAGCACATGTACATGTATTAAAACATTTAAAAACTAGAAATGTGTCATCATGCCACGGATGCCCCCGCATGCAGCCAAAATTTCAGATGGTGCATTAATTATTTTTTTTCATTTTAAGTTCAAAGCCCTTAAAACTTTTCAATGTTAACACAACTCATTTTCATACAATGTTCAAGGCACTGAAATTATTCAGTCTTAACCTTTTAAAAATAGCATATTGCATATTTGTAGCCAAAATAATGGCTAAAAAGTATGAGTGCTGAAACTGAAAGTTCAAAATTTTTCCAACATTCAGGAAAGATAAGTTTGTCTAAAATCATTGAACCACAACCAAATTCAAACTTAAACTGCTTATTCCTAAGATGTATCTATATTATTTTCAAAGTGAAAGGGACATAACTCTGCCAAAAAATCATCCAACCATGACCAAATTCCAACTTGACCTGCCCATTCCTTTGACATATCCATATGTCAAATTTAAGTTGAATATGTAACACTGTTGGGTAGATAATGAACAGAAACTGTAAATTTCATATTATTTTCAATGTGAAAGGGGCATTACTCTGCCAAAAATCATTGAACCATGACCAAATTCGAACTTGGCCTGGGCATTCCAAAAACATATCCATATGTCAAATTTGAGTTGAATGTGTTGTACCATTGGGGAGATAATAAACGGAAACTGAAAATTTTATATTACTTTAATTCAAAGTGAAAGGGGCATAACTCTGCCAAAAATCATTGAACCATGACATAATTTGAACTTGACCTGCGCATTCCTTTGACACATCCATATGTCAAGTTTGAGTTGAATGTGTTGTACCTTTGGGGAGATAATGAACGGAAACTGAAAATTTCATATTATTTTCAAAGTAAAAGGGGCATAACTCTGTCAAAAATCATCGAACCATGACCAAATTCGAACTTGACCTGTATTTTCTTATGACATATCCATATGTCAAGTTTGAGTTGAATGTGTTGTACCGTTGGGGAGATAATGAACGGAAACTGAAAATTTCATATTATTTTCAAGGTAAAAGGGGCATAACTCTGCCAAAAATCATGAAACCATGACCAAATTCGAACTTGACCTGTATTTTTTATGACATATCCATATGTCAAGTTTGAGTATAATGTGTTGTTCCGTTGGGAAGATAATGAACGGAAACTAAAATTTCATATTATTTTCAAAGTAAAAGGGGCATAACTCTGCCAAAAAACATCGAACCATGACCAAATTCGAACTTGACCTGTATTTTCTCATGACATATCCATATGTCAAATTTGAGTTGAATGCGTGCAACCGTTCTTAAGATAATGAACGGAAACTGATGATGACGGAATGACAGAATGACGGAAGGATGGAAGGACGGAAGGACGGAATGACGGAACAGGGTAACACTATATGCCCTGGCCATTACATGGCGGGGGCATAAAAACATTAAACAACAGTACTTGTACGGAGCCTATTTGCTACCATTGCATTTTAGCTTAAACACATTGGTATTTTTCAATAGTATTTAATAATGCTCAAATTTATTACAAAATAATGAATAGATTTATTTCCCCGATATTTTTTGAAAGTAAATCTTCCTGTGTTACTCACACTTATCTGCTAGACACACTGGTAGGTACTACCAGCTTTCACGGAATCGATTTTTTACGATGACGTCATAACATGTCCGCCAAAGATAGTGTAGACAGTACAAATTTGAAATAAATCGCATGTATGCGTTAAGACAGGTACAATCTAATATTTTTTCTAGGAGAAGTTAGTACTAGAATTTATATTCTATTGATTTTTAGAGGACATTGAAGTTACTTTCAGGTTTAAGCAGTAAAAATCAGTCCAAACTATCGCTAGTGTTGCCGGTATATTTTCCGTGCGTAAAAATGACAGTTAAAATTAGGCGTAACGGTTTGACAGTAAGAAAAAAAAAGTCTGTAAAATGGGTCAAACCGTTCACGCCGAATTAATTAGGCTATGTCATACCAGATGACAGTAGTAGACAATCACTAGTGAATGGCAATATTTTCGATAGTTTGATTGACTCATGTATTTTTATAGAAAATGATTCTTCCACGCATTCACATTATTTCCTTTGTGGCGATTATAACGAATGTACCTCAAATATACCAGATCTTGTTGCATTTGATAATATGACACATATAGATATTTTACCTGATGATTATATATTATTGATAATGAGTCACCTAGAATATGTTATACACTGAACAAAAGTTCTAACCGATCACCCTGAGTTTTCGCTTATACACTAAACAAAATAAAATAGGGGTCAATAATATATTTTATGGTATTTTGATAATAACTTTATTTTTTAATTTAAATATATCACTTTCACCTTGTGCACCCATGTACTGTTTGCAACGAGATTTCATAACCATGAAAATATCGAAAAATCCGTGCAAAACGCTCAGAAAGACATGTACCTTCAAAAATTGCATTGAAAATGAAGATATCATATCCAACCTAATTGTTATGTCTTTATACCGCTGGAGTTTTAACACAGTTTCTTGTTTTCTGTGCTTCAAATTTATTTACCTTTATCACAAAATATGCCGAGGAGGCACCTGACTCGAGATGAGGCTGCACAAGCCCTCGAACGTTTGCTAGCCGGCCAAAGTCAGCGTCAAGTGGCACAGGCCCAGAGCACCAATCAAAGCGTCATTCAGCGGTTATGGACAAGGTACCTAGCCACCGGATCTGCATTTAGACGAACAGGAAGTGGTCGTTTGAAGGCAACATCTGCCCGAAACGACCGTGCAATGGTAGTAATGGCGAAACGGAGGCGATTTGATTCTGCTGTTTCATTGAATAGAGATTTTGCGAGGGCAACAAATGTGAATATTTCTGTTCAAACGTATAGAAATAGACTTCATGAGGCTAATTTACGCGCTCGGAGGCCAGCTATACGTGTACCACTCACTCTAAGACATCGTGATAATCGATTGGCGTTTGCACGTGATCACCAGAATTTGAGGCTGCGTCAGTTTAGAAACATTTTGTTCACAGATGAATCAAAATTCTGTTT